GAGATTTGTGTTCTCATGCAAGAATTATGTGTCCTTTGGTACCCTGTATGAATCTGCGCAGCGCGTGTTTCTGTTCATCCAATTTTATTTATTTTATTTTTATTTTTTAGTGCTGTCTTATAAACCTGCTTCGATGCACACAATTTACCATGTATGTAAGATATGCCATATGACTATTGTGAAATGTCACGTGTATTTCATACAATCACATCTATCGATTCACTTGTATTCTTGATCTGCAACTTAGCATGAAAATCGAAAAATTACGCATGCTCGTGATACTGGAGCCAGCCGCCCAAATAGGCCCTGCGCGGCCTCTCATCATTTACTCCGACGAAGGCAGGCCCACCTGCCGAAACGTTAGTAAAAACTGCGTTTCGTACGTTTGTCGTCTTCCTTTTTTCGACTGCATTTCCTACCGGAACCATTGGATTTATCTCTCGCCTATTTCCCTGCTATGGAAATCCGGCAGACAACGTCGAAACGCACTATCTGGAAATATCCGAAGGTCCCAATATCTACAACGGTGTTGGGCGATTCACAGACCAAGTACTTGTTCCAGTACTTCGACCCTCTGCTGCAAGGAACTCCGGCATTCGTAACACAGCCGGGTGCATTTATAAGTGATGTTGAGTCTCTGCTCGACCTAGTTCCTTCCTCGACAAGAACTCTGGTTCTTCATGTCGGGAGCAACGACCTGACAAGAAAAAGTGGGCTAGCAACGTTCCGTTGTTATCGACACCTCCTTGACGTAATTCACGAAGAGCGTCCAGAAATAAGCCATGTATACGCCACGCTTGTCCTGCCACGAGCCACGAATCGACGTCGAAGAAACAACAACACAGTGTTCGTTCACTGTTTCAACCGAGAGGCAAGCCACTTCAACAGCCTATTGCGGAGTTTCTGCAAAGGCTTTAGTCATTTGTCTATTTTGGACCACATGTTCGAGTGGCTACCACCCGGGCGTGTACTGGCCGCTGATGGACTGCACGTGAGCTTTGAGGGCGTCGCGTTGATGTCAAGTCACATCAGGCAGCTGTGCTTCGACTCCCCGGGTGAGGCGAGCTCAACGAGTTGGAGTGACTGTGTTTCTTCGCCCGAGTGCGTTCATGGGCAGACTACGCGAATCAGCCACCAGACCACATCAAAGGCCGTGAATACACGAAAAACGCAACGTGACACAAGGCAATCAAAGAATAACAATCTGAGTACCAATACTCGCTCTTCTGGCATCAAGCCGTCTATGGCAGAGTCAAGAACCAGCACCATGCTCGCCGATTTGAAGTCTACAACTTCTACCAAGCAGCAAGCTTCTGGTCGTGCTTGCGCGTCCCGCAACAAGAAAGACCACTCCTCCGCTGCCCAAAAAAACACGGCGCCAGCTGAGTCTACCCTGCAAGCCCCAGGAAAAGCGGCCACTCCTTCTACGGGATTCAGGTACCCTCTTCGAAAGCAATACTCGGACGTTTTAAAGAGAAAACCTAATAATTGACTACAGCGCTCGTTGTCCAACGATGCGCCTTGGAAGTGTTCTAAAGAATTTCAAAAAATTAGAAAATCTGTAGAAAAACGTATACGTTATGAGCTACATGTGTCCACTCTAGAAGCGTATTTAGTGGCGTCTATTCCACCTAGGGGTTTAAGTCTCTGTCTGCAGCCTGCCACATCAGAGTTATCTGAGTGCAATGCAAAGAAGTGGCGTGAAACACTAAAGAATGCTTCACTTCAGCTAGTAGGCATTGTGCTAAACCACTACCGGTCTTCACTGAAATCCTTGATAAACAGGGAGCAACAATTGCTCAATCAGTATAGCCTATCTCCCGAGGAATCATCGTCTTTAAACACGTATGAACAAAAGAAACGCTGCGTACTCGATACACATAAAAGCAAGAAGTTGCTTAGAGACGGTGTAATACGCCCCATTTCAACGCCCCTACCCCCAATCCGGGAAATCACGCGCACCCCTGTTCCCGATAACATTGTCAATATTTCAAGCGCTACTTTATCCAAAGAACAAGTAAGCCTTTTATCTCGTGGTTTAAGTTTCTGTCCTGCAAGTGGCAGCTACAATGAATTCCAGTTGTATAAAGATTTAGATAACTTCGCACGGAATATGAGATTGCATGAATACTTCTTCGATCAAGTGACTCCGGCCGATGATCCAACAGCTTTACCGTCGCTTAAACGCTGGACACCTGCGTCTCAACGAGACAAACACCTTGACATATTTATTAAAGCGGTCACGCGAGATATCATTGAAGCTTATAACAAGCGACGTTCTTTTCGGAAAAACCTATCGAATCTAGAACTGAAAGCTATGGCAGATCTATGTGAACGGATTGATATCACAATCAAACCTGCGGACAAGGGTGGCGCCGTCGTGGTTATGGACACAATTAAATATATCGCTGAAGCTGACAACCAGTTAAATAACAGTTCGTTTTACAAACGACTCGATGCTGATCCGACTGCGCAATATAAAGAAACGTTAGGTAGCACAATCAAAGCACTGATAAAGGATAAAAAATAAGTGATAAGGCAACTTCCCTGATTCCTCTTGATCCAGTCGCGGGTAGATTCTACCTGTTACCAAAAATTCATAAACAAAATAACCCTGGTCGCCCAATTGTTTCCGGCATAGGCACCGTAACAGAAAGCTTATCGCGTTACGTTGATAGCCTGATCAGCCAGATACCTCCCACGTTCCAGTCATTTTTACGTGATACGACCCACTTTCTGTCAGACATCAACAACCTTACTGTACCTATCAACGCTCTTCTTGTTACTCTTGATGTTGCATCTCTTTACACGAACATACCTCACCTGGATGGGATACGCGCCGTGACTGAGGCTTATGATCACTCCACTCTTGATAAGCCAATTGATAGCTCCACTTTGGCTATACTGTTGCAAATGATTTTACAATACAATAACTTTGAGTTTAATGGAGTGCATTATGTCCAAGTCAGCGGTACGTCTATGGGTACAAAAATAGGGCCCAATTACGCAAATATTTTCATGGGAATCCTCGAGAACAACTTCCTGTCGAGTCGTTCGTTGAAGCCCTTTTACTACAAGAGATTCATTGACGACATTTTCATAATTTGGCCACACGGAGAAGCGACACTTTTGTCTTTTATTTCCGCTTTTAACAATGTTCATCCCTCCATATCCTTTTCACACTCATACTCACCAAGCACCATTGACTTCCTCGATGTTACAGTATGTATCCATGGTACGCAATTGACCACAAAACTGTACCGCAAGCCCACTGACAGGCACCGGTACTTACATTTTGAAAGTAGCCACAAGAGGGATTGCAAATTGAGCATACCATATAGCCAGGCGTTACGCTTTAAGCGAATTTGCTCCGAACAGTCCGACTTTAACGCCAACTGTACAGAACTACGCAGTGCTCTACTTAAACAGAAATATCCAGCTATGTTAATCGATGATGCGGTGAGGCGGGCCGACGCATTAGAACGCACAGCGCTCTGCAAAACCAAGAAAAATCTTAATAGTCATTCAGAAGTAAACCTAGTTTTAACACACAATGCATCGGCGCCTAATGTCACAAGTATTCTCCGAAAACACCACAACATCCTTCAGCAGAGTGAACGCCTTACAAGAGCCTTTCCACAACCACCACGAGTTGTATACAGACGAGGCAAAAATCTACGCGATTTGTTAACTTCGTCTAAAACCAAATGTGATGACAACACTCAACTGGTTGGTTGCCATCCTTGTAAAAAACCTCGCTGCAAAGTGTGCGCTCACATGACTACGACAACCTGTGTCACCAGCACAGCGACTGATTTCAAAATAAATATCAGAGGCAATTTCGATTGTGACACACAGAACGCCATTTATCTGCTGGAGTGCTCAATTTGTCATCTACAGTATCTCGGTCAGACTGAAACTGCTTTTAGGTACCGATTCAACAATCATAGAGCTCATGTACATGCCCTTCCTCACTTACCAATTTCAAGACATGTCACCGACACAGGTCATTCCTTCAGTAACATCCAAGCCACAATAATTGAATCTGGTTTCAAGACACACCATGATCGCGAAATTAGAGAGTCATTCCTTATTCATAAATTCCAAACTCTCTCAAACGGAATGAACGAAAGCCCGGGAACACTTACTAGCATGTTGCCTTAGTTCGTTAATACACTTAACAATGACTGGTGGATGTCTGCCGTGCTTGTTCAGCTATTTTCGTATTATTGCGTACACATTGTCTCCTTTCTATGTCATGCATACCTTTGAAAATTCTTGTATTGAGTTATTATATATATTTTTATCAACTTTGCCTTTTCAATTTTCTGTTTATTCACTTCTTATTTTGCTCATTTCATAGATTATCCTTAGAGATTTGTGTTCTCATGCAAGAATTATGTGTCCTTTGGTACCCTGTATGAATCTGCGCAGCGCGTGTTTCTGTTCATCCAATTTTATTTTATTTTTTATTTTTTAGTGCTGTCTTATAAACCTGCTTCGATGCACACAATTTACCATGTATGTAAGATATGCCATATGACTATTGTGAAATGTCACGTGTATTTCATACAATCACATCTATCGATTCACTTGTATTCTTGATCTGCAACTTAGCATGAAAATCGAAAAATTACGCATGCTCGTGATACTGGAGCCAGCCGCCCAAATAGGCCCTGCGCGGCCTCTCATCATTTACTCCGACGAAGGCAGGCCCACCTGCCGAAACGTTAGTAAAAACTGCGTTTCGTACGTTTGTCGTCTTCCTTTTTTCGACTATATATATATATATATATATATATATATATATATATATATGTGTGTGTGTGTGTGTGTGTGTGTGTGTGTGTGTGTGTGTGTGTGTGTGTGTGTGTGCTTAGTTTTGTGTTCGGTGGTTTAAGATATTATTTGGCGTCAACACAAAGGCCAGAAAAATCTTATTAAGGACCATTATCTAGATTCATGAAAAATATGAAAATATCACAAAATTAAAAACTTACGCTGGGTCCTGGATTTCCAGACTGTCCTGGGTCTCCTTTCATACCAGGTTCACCCTAGAGAAAACAAACACAGTAAATTGATCAACATGAGATTTTGCTTAAGTTCCACATTGACCCTCGTATAACCTTGACTTTAAAAAAAATGAGCCTAGTGGAGGTATGTGATTATATGGTTCCTCGTGATATTTCAGATGCACCTACATTCTTGAATGTGGTTCACATGTTTGCAAGAGAGATCAAAGGTGTTTCCTGTTGGCTATCCGCCTAGTTTGCTTCGAAAGACACCCTTGCCCATCAGCTTTTGTTTTCTATGGACAGATTAAGGGGCTGATATACAGGCCAGGGGCACAAATAATTTTATTCGTGTCTGAGGGGATGCTAAGTTTCTTTGTCTCTTTCTCTCTCTTTCTTTTTCAGGAAGATGTTTGCTGAAGTCCCCGAGCAGCGCATCCTTGAGGCACGCTGAGGTTTGTTGCATGTTGAACTTTAACAGCACAGAACAACATGAATTAAAGAAGTCGAACTAAATGAACAGCCGAAGCACAGCAGCCAAACCTCAAAATAGCCTCCACGGCAAACTACTAATAGAGGCTGCTTGCATCTGCACTTAAAGTAGCACTGACGTCCTTCGTCAAGTCATACTCCACGCCTTCTGAATTTGTTCATCCGCTCTCGCTTAGGAAAAAAATGAATAAACATAGCAATAGCTGGAGGAAGCAGTGAACTTGGACAGCCAGTATCAAGTACAATTCATCACTTTAACAGTGTTTCTACACAGTGCTGATGGATAGCTGTTTACTGGCACCCCTGAGCTGAAGACCCTGCTGTCCTGTTAAATTCAGAACTGCCGCCTTCTCCCCATCAATTTTAGAACATGTCAGCGAGGACTCTGCGCAAACTGTGAGCTTACCTTGCTGCCCTTAGGTCCTCTCTCGCCAGGAGGGCCAACAATACTGTCAGGAACCTTATGACTTGGCTCGCTGCAGTTCCCGGGTAATCCACGTGGCCCTTGGGAGCCCTTTTCACCCTAAAAAAGAAATAAAGCAGCTTAGTTAGCAAGATGGTAGAACTGACGGATGGTCACCTTTCTTGTCATTAAAGAGATACTTACAGGCTCTCCCTTGCTTCCAGTAAAACCGATGCCCATGTTTCCTTTAGGTCCTACTGGTCCGTCATTTCCTCGGAAACCCTGCACAAGTGAAGCCGCTTCGTCAATTATCACTAAAAAAAATAAGGGAACGCTGATGCCTCTTTACGAAGAAAAAAAGGCAGCTTTATTATATGATAGACTAAACATTGAAGCACAACATCATGTTATGCGCACAATGGACACTTTCCGACTATGATAGTACAATTTGCGACATTAAAAGGAAACAAAAACAAATAAACAAATACTGCACTCTTTTGGCACAGGAATGAAACTAATGATTAAAAGAGAACTAAAGCCAATTGGTTGTTTTATACTTATGTGTGCCGGGCAGAAAACTTGCCGTGCGCAGTGCACCTTTGCTAGTTCGTGCCATGCATGCATATACTGAACATCTAAGGAGTTCAAATGTATGAAGTTGTCTTCAGTCTTTGCGACGTATTCGTAATGCTTAACACGGCTCACCGGTGGTCCTTCAGGGCCAACGTCACCCTTTTGTCCAGGAAGGCCATCAGCTCCTGGAGGTCCCTACAAGGCGTATGATTTTGCTTGTTAGACCAATTTTGGGTTAGTAGTTAAAACAAAGAGCAAACCGAATAAAACCAGACTGTTCGACTTACGGGAGGTCCAACTTGACCATTGCGTCCGGGGTCACCCTGCCGAAACGAGAAGAACGAAGCAGTTAATAAAAATTGCTCTAGCACTGGATCATAGCGCGAGGATTCCTCACCCTTCACGTTCCCTCCGTAAAATGCAGCCAGAAAAAATGGCATTGTTTTAATTAGGACACACGTGACACACTGAAGCTTTACATCTGTTTGGTAGAGGCTTCATGCACCTTCACTGACACGCGAATCACGGTTCAGGCTAGGGGCACGAATTTGGAGAAGGAAGCAAAATGGTGCCTTATTTAGAGGACGTCAACCAGTCACGTGCAGCCTGCACAATCAAAACTGCTAAAATGTTGGTTACACACATCCAGTACAAGTGCAAAAATTTATTCCACGTAATTAATTCTCTAAAATAGTTCGCCTCTCATAAACTTTCAAAAGAAAACATAAAAAGTCATTATTGTTGTGCCACAACTTCCTTCACTCTTTATATGTGCAGTTTTGTTTTTAGAGCTGCAAGGCAGTAAGAAGCGTGCTAACACACACAAAAAAATGCGCTGTCTGTGCCACAGCTTCGCCGCCTTTGTCTATAGCTTATCGTGCAAGTATGTGACAATGCATAGACTAAGCTCCGCTGCTCAAACGTTCTCATATTAGCCCAACTGCCTGCCACTCAAGAGCACTTGGACGGGATCCCGGCCTCGGTGGCCTCATTTTTGTTGGGGGCGAAAATGCTTGAGGTCCATTTACTTAGAGTTAGGCGCACGTCAGGCGGTCGAAATTTCGGGAGCCCTCTACTGCGGTGCGCCTCATAGGTTTGGGAAGCTGAAGCCCAACAATTATTATTATCAGTTAAAAGCATTCAGATTCAGACAGCAGTAAGTGACCTTTGACAGTAGTGAATCAAACATATATGGGCATTGTTTTAACAATTCCCCATAATTATCATTGCACAGCTCGTGCACTGAGTGCCGTGAGGGAGCAGCAAATGACACCGCAATAGATTTTTTTTTCACGTCTGAAAACAGTATCTGTGGAGAAAACAAGCGATGATTTCCACTTGCCTTCTCTCCTTTTGTTCCAGGGGGTCCATAGGCGGGCTCTCCTCTCGGTCCTGGTGGACCAGGTGGGCCAGGGTCACCGGGCGGCCCGTGTGGTCCAAGAGGACCGACCGGCCCAGGATCTCCCTGCGGGTAACATAAATAACTTCACGTCGTGACTGCACAAAATAAGCGCTAATGACTGTGTAATATAGATCATGATGATGATCAGAATGCGCTGGAGTCAGGTTTTGGAAATTGTCCTAAACAAATAATGCAAGCAATATCGGTGGTAAGCACTAACTATTGATGTCCCAAACACCTGGTGCGCAAGTGTAAACCATTGGCATGAAAAGGTGTGGGTTGTTCGCTCTCTCTAGGTGCATTCTTTATAACCGCAAATTAATAATACATGACGTAGCTCTCACCTTTGTACCATTGCAACCATCAAGGCCAGGTGTTCCTCTAGATCCCGGAGATCCCGGAACGCCCTGCAGAGATTAGTGAGATGAATGAAGTCAATTATGCCTCAGACCTCATCGCAGTGCGGGACGTCGCATAGTAAAATGTTCAGGCCTGCATATTTAACTCTGGCGTGTAATAGGCAATACATTGTATACAAGCCGCCTTAATGACGCCTCCTTAGTAGAGACCAGCGAGTATCACTTACCGGTATTCCGTTAATTCCAGGGAAGCCAGGCATGCCCATTTTTCCCTGTGGAGAATCACAAAAGTATAACATTTAGCTAATAAAAACCACGCAACACCGTTAGTTGAGCAAAATATATGAATATTGTCCAGTACCATTTCTGATAGTTCCTCCGGTTAGTAGGTGTTTGAGTTCATATTTTTTTACTTGTTTGTACCGAACTCCCATTTTACTGCAAGCTTACGTCAGTCATAAAGTTGCATTTTTAATTTCTACTTCATTTTTCTTCGTAAGTAACGACAGCAGGTGTAAATAATTTGGAAAGTATGTTTATCTTTTTCAAATGTGAAGTATTTCTTAGCGAACTTCGGCAACTTTGAGTGCATCTATCTATCTATCTATCTATCTATCTATCTATCTATCTATCTATCTATCTATCTATCTATCTATCTATCTATCTATCTATATCTAGCTGCTTACGTTTCGGCGCTCTGGTGGTCATCCACCTAACTTGGCGTGAACCAAAATTAGCATGGGAGGGTAAGACGGTTTAACGAATGTGACGCGCTGGTATAATGTCACATGAATAATGTCACAATTACGTCACGTACGTCGTCAAACACTTCCCGCCAAACAGTGGCACATACCCAAGGGTGGGTATGGGCCGCTGTATGCGAGTATGTGCCACAGTTGATTGACAATTAGTATCTACCCAGGAAGGACGAGAACACACATGGGCAATTTTAACGTGCGAGCGCTAAGATTTACCCGACACCGGTAGCGTCGATTTGACGAATGCAGAGAATAAATGTCTGGGTCCCAGCTGGAATCGAACCCAAGCATTCTGCGTGGCAATGAAGAATTTTAGCACAAACCTACGCCAGGTCTCTGAACTGCTTTTCAAATAGGAGCTGATATTCGTGAAACGTCAATGGGGGTTGCAGTGCTGCCTACCCAATTTTATAAACATTACATACGTAATCCTTTGATACAGCCGTCCCGTCAAGTTAAAGTGAATTGGGGTTACGTGCCATGCGCTGAAGTTGATTTATGTAGTAGTGTCCAGGGCCAGCGTCCTCGAGAACATCATCGCTTCATATCAGCTTCTGGTGTTGCTAATATGCATGTTTCAGTTCGCATCGTTGCACAAGTGCAAGCAACTGGTTATATAAACATCTGAAACCCTTCAACATATGTCTGTGCGTGCAACATTTGTACGTATATTTAGCGTCATTCCATGACGTGTCGCGCAATAAAAATATTGCAACACGGTCACCTTCCGTCCGCATGATTCGCATATTGTTGATTTCCAGGTAGGTGGGATCTGCCAATTTCTCTTTCCACAGTGCTTTGATTGTGATTTTGAGCTTGAAAATGTTATATTCTCAAAAAAAAAAACGCGAAGCAGAAACATTATAAGCTTGTCAGCTTGCAAAAAAAGAAGAAAAAAAAAACACGCGTGCAGTTTTTTTTGTCGTTCCCATTTTGTGATAGCGTTAGAAATTCGAAGCATTGTAGCCGAAGTGTTTGTGCCTCGCTCAATACGCCCACTTCGTTGTGGAGTCAGTGCCTGAAATCATGGCCGTTTAATTTCAAGTTTATTATTTTTTACTTGTTTGTTTTGCATACCCAAAAGTCCCGAGGCCACCTGTTGGATCCGTAACCTGAAATTTATCCCTTCAAGAAAGTTAAACGGCGCAAAACAGATGTGAACCCAGAAATGCATGTGACAGGGCAGGCGTCAAGTACAGTCGATCAAATCTTTAGCTATCGTGAATGAGTTGCAGTTTTTTCTGTGTATCTTTGCCATACGACTGAATGAAGCTTCGGTTAAATTAAGGAAATGTGTATGCCCATAAAGCACATGTACACAAAGCAATTTTTTTTTCCAACTTCGTTCGATAGTATGGCACTGACAGACAAAAGAGTGGCCGCTACGCACAATAGCTAAAGTTTTGGCCGACTCTACGTGTTGCTGTCGTATGTGCTTTTACATCATCGACTCGTTTGCGCCGTTCATTTTTTTTTCTTTTTTTCCCTGATGTGCATGATATACGAACTACGGGCCAACATTCTGCGTTAGGTTACAGTCTATGTCCGGATTGCTCACGATAAAAGTTCGCTGTTTCTGTTGCTGCGGATGTCATGTATGTCGCGCTGAAGGCCTTCCTTGCAAGATCAGGGTACAGCACAACAGCAACGTTCAAGGGCCCCTTAAACAACCTTTGAAAACAGAAAAAAAAGACAAGCGCATTATTCTCTCCCGGTGTGGCCCGTCTTCTGGGAACAATAGGTAACGCCAGCGTACACAGTTCGCGTAACGTCATGAGGCTATGTATGCCCTCGATCGCTCCTTATGCGAGGGATATAATTTGTGAATCATCTCCTTCCAGGTTTAGCCATGTCGTCGCACGCCCATCATTCCCCATGTCACGTGACTAACGTGTGCGACCAATTCATTTCACTTTGTTTTCGACTGCGCAAGCGGCAATAACAGTGTATAGCAAAAAAAAAAAAAGCGAAATCCTGATATGTTCCACGCTATAGTAGCTGACATTGCCGCCACGTTTTATGAACAAGAAATACGCGGCGATGAAGAGATAGCCCCTGTAGGAAGCGTAGTAAATGCGAGATTAAAACCACCCCCTTGTCTCTAAGCCTGAAGTGGTTTAGGGCACACCTGAACCCATGTAAGCCCAAAGGCATACGAGTATGCATACGACATACGAGTATGTCGGCTTCTGTGTTGCCTTTACCTTCTTCCCTGCGGGCGCTATCTCGACCACGCCACTTCTTTGGACAACAAATGGAGACGTGCATGTCAGCACTGATCGCATGTTCTGGCGTGCGAATGCGCATGGCAAAACGCAAAACGTGACAGCAGATGGTTCAGACTTGATGACCAACTTATGTGAACCATTCAACAAATTGTATCCTGGTGATGTCGCGTGCGTCAACCTGTCGGCGTCACGACGTGCGATGAAGAAGTAGAAATCCAAGGAAGGCCTAGACGTAAGGATGCTATACTTATTGCAACTATTAGTGGCGGTCCAGGGGCCCTTTAAAGCAACCGCTTATTCTCAAGAACGCGCCGATATATGATGTGGTTGTGCCGCTTAATGCGAAGACTATCATAATCTTCTCATTTTTTGTGTATTGTGTTCTGTTTTCCCCAGACATCCTGACTACCGTAATATACACACCCGTTCTCCCTTAGGGCCGCGGGGTCCGTCCCGGCCAGCTTCTCCTTTTTCTCCTTTATCGCCAGGCAGACCTTCGGGTCCAGGGTGTCCCTGGACGCCAGGAGGGCCTGGAGGACCGGATGCACCCGGCGTTCCCTGAGTTGGCGACAATGATGAGCACTGTTAGCAAGTCACTGAGTCGACGCTGTCAGCAATAAATAAGGTGATTGGTGAAGGAATGCGAACCGGTTAAAGAAAAAGAGCCTAAAGGTTACTTCGACACAGAAAAAGCAACAGGGGAGACAGGAAAAAACAAATGAGGCCGACTTCGCAGACATCAATGCGGTGTGCAGCCAGAGGCGCTTACACAGGCAGATGATAATTCCGGAGAAATTGACATTGAGCCGAAAGAAGCAGACGGCAAAAAAAAAAGAAAAAAAGAAATTGTTGGTGTAGTAACAAAACATAAAAGTTGTACACCAATCAATATATTTTTTAGTCAAAACATGATAGGTTCGAGTTGTTTGAACATGAGACTGAACAGGAGAGGTCTTTAACATGCATGTATATGAGAACTCTGTGGTACATCATGAATTTAAACAGCGTCGAAAAATCTATGACCAGGAAGAGTGACATACGCATGCACTCGCGCACAGCGAGCCATGGTTTTTTTTTTTTTGAAAAGCGCGATCTCATTGATCAAGTAAGGTAAATTCGACTAAATTGAGATGTGTACTATGTCACCTCCACTTAACTGCACTGAGACACGAAAAATTCAAATGTTATGGAAGTGTGTCCTTCCATGCAATTCATAATCTATAGCATCATGTACATGACGCGATGCTCAATTATTTATTCTGTTCCCGGATGGCTACTTCCAGTGACCCTTGAAACATTCGGACGCATTGTTGATTGTGAAATTTTTGAATGAAAAATGTATGAAATAATTAGTTGCCATAATGAATATTTTCACCATAACATATGCCCATCAATCAGAACATGACGCTGATTCAATGCTGTGGATCTACAGGACTTGACGAAAAGGACTTTGCCCTAATGTTAACTTCCTATGTTTGGCGAATAGCGCCCCTTTTGCCACAAATTTGGGGAGACATTGCGCCCGAATCGAATAACCAAACAAAGCGTGGAAGGGTGTATGGTGAGAACACTGCAGCAGTAGCAGGGCAAGGCAAACGACGTGCACAACTTAGCCAGCCAACTCACCCGAGATCCTTTTTCCCCTATACACCTGCATCCCGAGCATGAGCTGCAGTTTCGCTGTTCAGCAGCGTAGCCGTTATAACCATTTCGCTGGACTCCGCCCTGGCCCCGGCCATTGTTCCATCCGGTTTGGTTGTACCGTGGGTCGCGATAGAATTGCCGGTATCCTGCCTGCAAATGAGACAGAAGGCAGCGTGGTTGTCATTATACGGAAGCATGCCAGAAAATAGGCACACTTGGTTACCGCTTGGCTTTATTGGACGCTTTCCAATGATTCATGTTCATCGACAAAAAACAAATAACAGCGCATCTTATTGCTTTATTTTCCCCCATTTCTTTTTCAAGTATGCAAGAAGTTCAGTTAATCATCTTAAAGCACACATCGATGGCTCAATACGAACCGGGAGCATACCAGAAATTTCTTTTTGATTAAGGGGGATTGATTGATATGTGGGGTTTAACGTCCCAAAACCACTATATGATTATGAGAGACGCCGTAGTGGAGGGCTCCGGAAATTTAGACCACCTGGGGTTCTTTAACGTGCACCCAAATCTGAGCACACGGGCCTACAACATTTCCGCCTCCATCGGAAATGCAGCCGCCGCAGCCGGGATTCGAACCCGCGCCCTGCGGGTCAGCAGCCGAGTACCTTAGCCACTAGACCACCGCGGCGGGGCTTTGATTAAGGGGGAAGGGGGGGGGGAGAGGTCTACTACATTTTACGTATGCTCGTTCGCACGTTCATATTCATACATCTACGCAGGCATACGTGAAAAATTCGGTGAAGAGGGGGGTTGACCCTCCTCCTCCATTTCTATATACACAACGCCGGATACCACGTGATCCGTCGTTGTGTTTCTTCTGCAACTAGAGTTAACCTTGAATTGCATCTCACCCCCATATTCTAGAACGTCCCTTCACTCAACGCTTCACCTTCACTTGAGAAAGCCGATGGAAGCGCGTTCGCTAGGTCAGGCAAATCACTGCATATCAGCGATAATGTGGTCCGATTCTCGAGCAGCGCAGCGTCATTTTCAACCGAGCAGCGGCGCAGTGCTCAACTTTGTCAAGTGAAGGGTGAAAGTCGAGGAGCGTTTGTGAATACGGGGGTCAGTCTGGACAGACCGTATTAGCAGGAAAAAGCAATGCCATTAAGGCGCACTCTAGCTCTTTTGGTTTAAGCGCGAGTATCTATTTTTTTTTTTTTGGTTGCAGGAACACTTAACAAAAAAGATAAACCAAGCTATCGTTTAATGACTGGGGAGGAAAAAACATAAATTTAGCATGTTTAGGTTATGGATAGGTCGTAAAGGAAACGGCGCCGCGTTCCAGACAAATCAACAACTAGACTTTTCTTGTATGCACAGCTGATTTATTAGCCTAAAACGAATGCGCAATTAGTATTCAGTAACTGCTGATTTCTGTAATAATTTTAATAGCACTGCCAAGGGTTAGCTACTGATCACGTGCAATCTCTCATTTCTTTGTCTAGACGCGTAGATCTCTAAAGATTTCATATTTTTTGTGTACTGGAGTGGTCACCCCAGTCGCAAAGTTGCCAGTTGAATCCCAATAACAAAAACGCACATCCCCACCTGTATACAACATCGTATGGTTTTTAGCTTCCCAAATGAAGTACAGTGCTCAATTCGGCTGTCTATAACGACGGAGCGTCGCGCGGGGAACAGCACGAGCGACATCTGCAGTCGCAAATACGCCACATCTGAGCATGCGCGGCGCCAACGATGTGCCTGCATTGCAGTTTCCACCCTTTTTTATCTCCGCGGCCACGATGGCTGCTTTGGCCGTCGAAGCACTGCAAACATTACAAAACCGAAATGAAACAACAACAAAAAAGAATTATTCTCGCTTCGGGATATATCACAGCGACAACGGGTTTACTTCGTCTTTCTTTATTATTTGTTTTTGTTTTTTCGCGATATCGCTCAGAGCACTTTCGACGGCCAAAGCGGTTGTTGCATTCGCGGCGATAAACGGGGATAAGTATTGCGAGGCAGGCACATCACTAGCGCCACGCATGCTGGGGCGTATTTGAGACGGCAGATGTCGCCCGTGCTGTTTCGCGGACGATGCTCCGTCGTTATAGGCCGGCGAGTTGAGCACTGTACCTACATATCCGACACCTTATATAGCAAGCCGAACGCAAGATGCCAGTACCATGGCTCAATATTGGACTCTTTTCTTTTTATTTTTTAGATGGGAAGCAGCTCTATACTTGACTAGCCTGTGTAACCCTGTCCCTCCGTAACCCCCCCCCCCACTGCGCATGCTCGCGTTTCGCGTCTCGTGCTGCATGCTCGCGTCTTGAGCCGGCCCAGGAAGACACCCGCAAAACTGTCGCGCCCCTCCCCCTATCTCGCCTCGCAAATCCGACGCAGGGAGCGACTGCTATAGGGAAAAAAAAACAAAAAAAAAACCGACTGCTCACGCTGCAACACCGTTCACTGGCCACCCCGTATGTGTAGGCACTGGATCGCGCGTTCGGAAATCAGTCAAGGGCATCTTTACTTGGCTTTCGCTTGATAAGCGCCAACGTCAATATCGCCGCCAGTGTTAGTGTTAGCACCCGCAGCTTCGCATCTACACGTTTCCCTTTAGCGGGAGATGGCCCAGGTTATTTTTTTTTTCTGTAATAAGTGCATACCTTGCAAATATGTCTTGATTTCGCCGTTTATACTGTACAGCACGGACTGTTGATACGAATATTTTTTCCTGGGGCTCTGTTACTAGTGTAAAAACAACAACTGTCCCTTCACCAACAACAGCAGTTGCCAGCGCAATAAAGAATTCGCCATCTATGTCGTGAAGCGAACGGCGCCGCCCGAAGAATATGTGGGCAGACAATTTACGATGGGGGCGGCAACGACGGCGGCTCTTGCGAAGCTCGCGCCTGGTAATGGTATGCAGAGCTTCCAAGAGATCGCACAGCGGCATCACCCCCCATCACCTGCGCGACAGCCGTAAAAAAGTTTGATCCGACGAGGCGTGCTAGACAGGCGAGAAACGAAGAAGGGATAAGGGCGAGTCGGATCTCGTGAAGAACCATTTTTCCAGCTATAGCGTTTCTTCGTGGATCCTAATACATAAATAAGAAAGGGTTCGTATATCAGCCACCATGAGTAATATTTTGCAAAGTATAACAGCAGGAATGCGTAGTCAGCGATGGTGGTCGGGCTGGACATATATGCAGGAATGACGAAAGTATTGCTCGTCGTATGCCTCGGTAAAACAGCGGCTGGCGCTCAACTACTGACCCGAAGGTTTGGGGTGGGGGGGGGGGGGGAGTTCGATTTAGGCAGTAGCATTTCGATAGAGGCGAATACGATATCAGTGCATGTTCAAGAACACCAAATGGTCGAAACTTCCGGAGCACTCCACTGCGGCGCCCCTCCTAATTGTTTCATGGTTCTGGCCCGTAAAACCCCGGATATTATTATTGTCAAGTCTTGCGCTGTGCGCACGTGCTGCATGGGTTGTGATGCTTTTCTCTTTTTAGAAGTTTTCTTCCTGTCCGGAATAGGACGGGAGAGGTCATGTAATGTTTCAAAGCACATGGTGAATTCATATAGTGCACGGCGTTCCATAGTGAATTTCGGCGTAATGCATATACATATTGATACTATCAGCATATATACAATGCGTAAGGTGGAAAGAGGCTTACTTGTAAGCGTCGCATCTTCGCATAGCGCATAATTGGCCACTTTACTAAAGCATAGCTTGACTCTAATTTCCAACGCTTTCGTTGGATCTGCATGATGATTTTTGTTCTTTATGTAAAAAAAAAAAAAGAAGCAGAGAAGGTGGATGCGTGAAGCACTGAATGAGTTTGTTAAAATATGCAGTACATGACTCAACTCGATTCAGTGCAGATTGTAGACAGTGCAGAATTCAAGTAAATTCGAGGTAGCCCGCCTGCCGAATGCCAGATATGCGGCATATACACATCGGCTGACCTTGACTACTCACGATCCTGTCGGAAAACATTTTACACGACGGTTCATATTACTGATTATTGTGGTTGTACAGTGCGACTTTGCTTATACCCGAAGTCATTCATAATGAAGATTTATTGTTCAAATTTAGTCTTCACGGGTTCTCGTGACGCCGACTTCAATATGGAGTAGAGAGGAACAGCCGCGCAGGCACAGAAGAGGATATTATGCGACTCGGGGGGGGGGGGGGGGGTGAAAAAATAGACGCGCTTCTACAGCCAAGGCAGAAGACCACGAACACCTCACATGCCAGCGGATCCTGCTTCGGCGAACCGAAGCCTAAATAAACTGGCGGAGACGGCAGAAGACAAGGAGTCCCATTTGGGATGCTGACCACGAAAGGGGAAACGCGGGCAGGGAATCTCGTAAACATGCGCCCGATGGAAGCCAGTCGCCACGTCATGAACGGAACGCACTCATGCGACTGCCCGGGCCGGCGAGGACGAGCGGGGCACCCCTTTATGGGCCGCTGCCGGGCTTCCGCCTGCGCGGCACATGTTTGAAACAATGCTCGAGCAGGCACCGCGCCTCCCCTCCAACCCAGACGTACCCCGTGGTTCGAGCTATGTTCGGCCCGCTGGTGCGCCGCTGAGGCGCACCAGCGCTGCGTTTGCCACGTTAGCCAAGCACGAGGCATGAATGATGTTTCCCTGGATATACAACAGTTTATAGAAATGGGGCCCCGCTATACCGTGGCAACGGTCTTCACCGTGCGTCGGGACAGCGTGATGAAAATGTCTGTAATGCCGTCTTGAGCGAAGGGTGTTGATGGAGCTGCAGAGACAACCAAGAATTCATCCGAATCAGCTTGCCAAGTTAAGAGCTTAATCGACTGGTCTCACTACTGCACGCTAGCTACACTTGAAGGACGCACGCACACGCGCTGTAAGAAGGTAATTTGGACCCGCCGTACGTTTTATGACACTTTTTTTCCGACATCTCATCTAGGGGGAAGGCCGATTCCTCGGCTAAAATATTGGAACAAAATGTAGCGCAACGCACGTCGTGACCAAATTACATCTCGCCTCTCTCTCGAATATATATATATATATATATATATATATATATATATATATATTCACACACACACATATATATATATATATATATATATATATATATATATATATATATATATATATATATGTGTGTGTGTG